TTGCAAACGAGAAATGCATAATTGGTGATAATAATTATCATCAAATAAAACAGAATAAATAATGTCACTAAATAGAAATACAATATTACAAAAAATAATTATAAAGAAATTTTCAATTTTTAAGGAAATTATACGAATTAGACGGAAAGACTTGGATAAATCGCACTATCTTCCAAACTTGAAAAGACAAAATTTCCAACAGAAATATCAGAAATATACTAGAAAATTTATTATTTTTACATTCGCCTACTTGCAAACGAGAAATGCATAATTGATGAAAATAATTATCATCAAATAAAACAGAATAAATAATGTCACTAAATAGAAATACAATATTAAAAAAAATAATTATACAGAAATTTTCAATTTTTAAGGAAATTATACAAATTATTCATTTAAATTATTTCCATCATAATTTAATTGCATCTGTTTACAAACGAGAAAAAATAATCCCACTGAACAGAAATACAATATAATAATAAATATACAGAAGTTATGAAAATTACATTAAGATATGAAACAAACATCAATTGAAAATATCGTTTTCTTTGTTGCTTTCACCGGTTTTCAAATAAGAAATAAATAATAAATTGGTGAAAAGAAAATTTCATCGAATGAAATGAAAATATATCGTTTTCGAGATCACAAATGTAAAAATTTATATTTGCATATAATTGATCAAAAATTACAGAAAATTAATTAATAGAGATTTCTTATTTTCTTTGTAGAAGGAATATTAGAAATATCACAAAATAATTAAGATTTTAACTGAATACATTTATTGGTATTGAAATAGAAATGTGTTTTTATAAGAGTATTAGCAAATCCATTCGAAAAGTGATATTTCATTTTTTCTTAGAGACATTTCGGAAAGCCTAATAACCTTTTCTGAATGTATTTCTTCTTCTCTACGTGCATATAATATAACAACATACCCTCCCGATTTGACATTTCGCATGATAACCTATTGTAAGTGAGTAGTAAGTAGTACAAGTGGTGCATGTGTTCTCGTGAGCTCCGGCTTCTTGACTGCATTACAGTGGCAATTCACATAACAATTATATAAAAATTAACATACATACGTAATTTAGAACAGTCAAATAAACAGAAAAAAACACTGGCAAAGAACACTACCCAGAAAAGGCAGAAATGCCTCGGGAGGAAACCTCGTCAGCTGCCGAGGAATTACTATTACCCTCACAGGATACAACAAGAAAAATACTAACGGACGAATGGAAATCATTTGAAATAGATGAAAATGAAGAAATTATGACCATCAAGTCAGGCTTCATATTTAAAACGGATAGAGACAGAGTCAAAGAAATAAAAAAAACTGTTAACAAAAAAAATATAATAACTCATACAGAGGGCATGGGACTGAGAGGAACGAACACGACGCAAGATCAACAGAGATCATACTCATCTATTATAAGAACAGTTCCAGAAGAAATAGACGAGAAGGACATAAGTAACACACTAGAAAGAAAAGGAATACAACATAGGTTTTGCAGAGGAATAATCTCCAGAGCAACAGGTCAACCGACCGATATGATCAGGATTATCATGGCTCAACCTGGGGTATACGAGAGGTTAATTGTGGAGGGATGTATGTATGACTATGTACGATATTCGACGATGCTGAGAAGACCATCTGAGCCGACGCCGATGGCATGCAATAGATGCAAGACGTTTGAGCATCCATCTGCTGAATGTAGGAGACTGATCACATACAAGAAGTGTGGGGGTGGACATAGGACATAGGTATTGCATCTCAGACTTGACACCTAGCTATAGAGACTGCGGACAGAAAGACCATACGGTCTGGAGATGTTCAGAAAGACCGCATCAACCGATAAAGGGTTTACCCAACATGACAGTTACAGTACAGAACCAACGATCAGAGGAGTTGCCAATGATGGGATCTACTGTGGAGAGGATACATAGACCAATTACAATTAATAACATAATAATAGACACATACATGGAGAAGATAAATAATCCGGAAAACGCAAATAGAACGGAACTACTGACTAAACTAAGAAAAAAAATGTTGGATAGATTCAATATTTACATCACGGAGGCGTTCCCGGGCATAGGCTACATCTCCACAAGAGGGATCTGGCCATGGCAGAGAACAGAGGCAGCGAATTAAGAGACCCAAATATTGAGACCAGGGAAGCATAGCAAATAACCAACAACAAGAGTGATAGCAGAACAAACAACAAGTCACTAACGGTTGTGCTGCAAAACAAAAAGCATGAAGTGGAGATAATGATAAAACAACAAAAGATGGATGTGTTAGCGTTTACTGAGACGTGGTTGGAGAGGAGGAGCTTCTACAATACAAACTTGGTGGTTACAGTGCGGTGCACAGTTGAAGAAAAGGAAGAGGCGGTGGAGTATCTATATACATAAAAAAGGAGATAAACTATGAAATACTGTCAAATAAAACAATACCAAATATCGAAATAATAACAGTCAGAATGAGCGAACTACATACAAATTTCACACTGGTTTACAACCCCCTAACAACGATCCGGAAAATATTATCAAATTATTTGCAAATGGCATTCTCAGCAGGAAGAAAAAAACAGATAGTAATGGGAAATCTAAATATTAATCTACTGGATACAACAAACAAGATAACAAGGGACTATATTAACACTATAAAAGAACAGGGATGCTACATAGCTAACAACATAGAAAATAAGTACTACACACGCTGGAACTCCAATCTGAACCACACCATATTAGATCACGTAATAACAAACCAAAAAGTAATGACAGGAAAAATAGAAATAGAGGAGGTGTCGTTCTCTGAAACTGACTATAGAATGGATAACAGGAGAACAAAAAGGAGAGGATAAATATACACAAAGAGAGAGAAAATATAAAAGGAAAGAAAAAAATTCATGGATCAACAAAATCATCTTGGACCTAATAGCAAATAAAAACAAACTAACAAACAATATAATATAATGAAAAAATACCCAGACGATAATAAACAACGTATGGATTATAAAAAATAAAAAAAGACAGAAACATAAACATACCAAATAAACAAGTAAAAACTACTGAAACAGAAATAAATGAGATAATAGAGTCATTGAGGGATGGATGTGCGCCGGGCAGTGATGGGATATATAAGTCAACAATTAAATAACGCACATTAGTAGACATAACAAATCAAATTCTGAGTTCCGGCAGCTACCCGGACGTACTAAAAAGTTACAATAACACCAATTTTTAAAAATAACGAAAAGGATGGATCGGAGAACTACAGGCCGATTGCGATAACATCAGTGTTTGCCAAAATAGTGGAAACAGTAATCTACAGAAGGTTAAACGATTATATGAATAACAACAACCTGACTAATCAACGGCAGTAAGGATTCCAGGAAAAGTCGAGTACGGTTGCGGTGCTGCTGGACTTGACTACGGAGATTAGAAGAATTCTGGACAGCCATATGAGTGCTGTTGCGGTGTTTGTAGATCTATAAAAAGCTTTTGACATGGTCCACAAAGGGAGATTGCTCCGATAAATAAGAAGTTTGGGTGTGGTTGGTCGGGAGGCAACGCTGTTTGAGTCTTACCTTACAAGTAGGGCTCAGCGAGTAAAGATGATGAGTACAGAGAGCTCTGAAATGTGCTGCGAATATGGGGTCCTTGCTCCTACGCTATACAATATATATACAAATAACATAGCCGACATTGAGTTAGAGGGACACGGCGTTGCAGAACAGCATCAACAACGACATTATTAAACTACAGACATGGTACGATGACAATCTATTAACAATAAACGAGTCTAAAATACACTACTTGAAAAAATGCTACGACAATTGGATATATGAAAAAAATAAACAAGTTTCTCCCGGATAGGTGCAGGATGGCAATGTACCATAGTATGTTTACCTCAAGGATGACCTATGGTTTACCTATGGTGTGGCGGTGTGGGGAAACACAACAAAAGAAAACGTAAAAGCATTAACAAGACAACAAGCAAAGCTAAAAAAAATGTTTGCAAATAGCCGTGACACGCAGTTACTGGATGCGGGGACACTGATAAAGGCACAGACAAACATACTAATACACAAAATAGTAAAAAAAAATAAGACCCGGGTGGCCTGTCTTTCGGCTGCGATACCCATGATCATAATACGAGAACTAGAAAAAAATATAAGAATGGAACAAAATACAACTAACATAATAAGCAGGAGTTTGCTGGTGCAGGGCGTTGCACAAAAAACATGGTTCCAGAGGAAATACAAATAGAAAATGATATAAACACGTTCAAAATAAAAATGATGTGTTGGATGCGGAGTCGTGAAACGAACCAACAAGCCCGCTCAAAATACCGGTTCCAAGGAGCGTTCCGAAAGAATCGAAGCTGAGGTGCATACACATAAGGGAAATAATAATAAAAAATGTATAATAAATACTGTACAAATTGTATATAAATAATAATACAAAAATCGATATAGGAAATCCTATATTATGTACAAAGAAAATAAGGTGTAAAAATACTGCTGAATATAACAAAAAAATAATAATTCAGAAATGTTAGATGTTAAGTTTTGACAAAAAAAATAGTGAATCGTTATTTTGAACAATTGTGTAAACGTCAAAGCACATCAAGATTTAAAAATCTGTTCCATCATAATCGTGTATTATAGTAATTTTCTTCTTTTTTTTCATCAATCATAGTAGAGAATTGTTTTTTTTTTGCATCGTGTAATCGTAAAAAGTCGTCAGCCTGGTCAGTCTTCAGTTTTCAGTGAAAAATTGAAAAAACAATTCAACGAACGTAAAGTTATCATACTTGTATCTTATTGTGAAAAAAAAATTGAAAAAAAAAAGTAATTAAAAAAAATAGCAGCAATTGGTATTGAACGAGGAAACTAATTTGAAAGACAAATGGTGCATAAAACCGGGAGAAACTCCGATCAGAATTTTACATTGCAGCAAAATGGAAGAGGACCACGTGTGTGGCCTGTAAATCACTTGTCTTCCCGATCAACACCGGCCGCGGTGTCTATAGCATTACGACCGTGGTTTGGCCTTTCCCTACCGCCGACCCTCGGGGTTCGCTTATCAACATTATTAACATAATCTGCGATAGTACTACGAGTGTTGTAATGCTCGTGACGTGTGGATCCTAGTCTTCCGTGCGACCCGCGACTCCTCATAGAGCCCCTTCCACGGTTGTTACCATCCGCATTCGAATTATACGCACGATCGTCACATCTTCTCGACATCGGGAGATTTGGTAATAAACCCATGACGCTGCCCTGCATGCTACGTAACTTCTGATCGATTTCCAACTTCTCCTGTCGAAGTTGTTCTACGTCCTAAACAAATAAACAAATAAGTTAGGAACATAACATACGGACGGTATTTGGTGTAATTACTTCCAATGAAATATCCATAGAAACGTACAATTTGTCATTAGAACCCAGTGCGTCCGAATCTTTTTCACGTCACGATGCCCGTAGATTAGTCTGATAATTAATAATTTTTTTATTTCAATCAATGAAAATTAATTTAATAGAAGTTATTACACAATTCGTTTAAATACGTCGGTTAATCCCACAGGCACTGTACGTTCTTACGGACATTTTTACGTTTTCATAATACAAATACATGTACGTATTATCAAGCATACTTAAAAAGAATGTTCGTTTAGTATGAGCTGATTGTATGTTGTTAATAATAATTTATCAACTATTTACATACACAATGCAATATATTATAATAGAACTATCCCCTCCCAAATATAATATATTTATCTTATTTATTGCTGTTTTTGTATTTGCGCACATTTTATATTAAAAAAGAATATGTGGATAATTCTAATAAACATATTATAATAAACATAAACATGATTATATACAGAAAAATAATATTATGAAAATAAGTTGTGCAATATTTAATAAAATAAAAATTATATGATATAACCTAATGACCTAATTCTGATTGTCTTTTATGGAATGTATTATGTAATTATTAAATTAAAAAATATGGTGATTTTAATTGTATATCTATCAACAAATATTATGATCAGATATTATTTTGAAAACAAACGTTTTACCAGAAAAAAAAGTCATATTTAAAAAAAGTAAATCTTATTGGTCTAAATTGAAGCAAATACAATATGTAATAAAAATTTAAAAAAATCATAGATGAAACATACATCAGATAAAAAGTCTCTAGAAAACTTAAGTTATAACTTAACTCTAAACTTAATTCTAAATATTTAAATATAAGCAAATTTAAAGAATTTGAAACAATCTAGTAACTTAAGTTTATGTTCGTTATTCCGACTTAAAAAATATATATGCACAATACTGAAATTGCAAGTTATATTATTGTGTGTTTGAGAAAATATGGAATTGCTATTTTAGGAGTTTTCGATTAAATGATTTCAAGGTTGCGTATCATTATGACTCATTGATAAAACTACGTATTAAAAAGATTATAATAAGTATTCCGTCACTTTGTTTAGTTACTACAGTAATAAGTCTCAACACTGATCATTACAATGATCAATACAATCTTATTTGTTATTATAGGTATTTCAACATATTCATCAAAACAGCGGAAAAAAAGATCAATAGTCTTTGCAGCAGTTATTTTTTTTTATTTTATTATTATTGTTGTGAATGAAAATGTTTATTTGTTTACTGTTGCAAGATTATTTTTGTCAAAATAAAATAATCTTAAAAATGTATTAAGAAAAACTTTTATGTAAACATATTTCTTAAATTTTATGGGCTATTTCCTATATTCCCGCCTCCAATATTATTTTTTATCATATATTTTAATAAAACGTGTATGTCTATCTATAACATATTCAAATATTTATATAAAATAATGGTTAAATAAATCAATTTGCTGAATAAATATATTTCAGTAAATATTGTTTTTGCATTTAAAATAAAACAAAAATACTTGTAAAATAGCATTAAAAATTACCATTAGAATTATAGTAAAATCGTTAAGTCATATCTTCTATAATTTAGTATTTTCAAATTGAAGGGTTAACTATTTGAAAGTAAGTAATATTTTAGATATGTATAAGATGACGTTACTAACAGGTTGATAATTAATAAAAGTATAAATACCTTCAGATGTGCTAAGTGATATTTCAATAGCATTTTTGCATTGGATATGCTTTCAACAGTTCCAACAAAAACAAAGGGAACCTGTCCCTCTTCTCTGGGCATCGTGGGCTGCGGTTCATTATCCCTCTCAATTTTAACCCGCACCTAAATAAAGGAAATTGAATGTGATAAAGATTGTAACAAGTCGTGAATATATACTTTACTTACAACGCCACTTTTATCAACAATCTCTTGAATGACCCTGCCATTCTTGCCAATCACTTTACCTACTAGAGCTGTAGGTACTTGCAGCGACTCTTCGCTATATTCCAGCATAGCACGAGCTTTTTTCACCGCTTCGTCACAATCCCCGTAGATTTTGAAGGTACACGAATTTTCCTCCAGCTCGATGTTCGTAATACCGTTCACCTTACGTGCCTGTTGGATGTTCACTCCGTGCGCACCGATAGCCAATCCCATCAAATCCTTCCTTACATTAAACTCATCTGAATACCTGCAATTGGTAACAAAGTGTTAGAATGGTAATAGGAACTGCAACCAATCGTACACTACAACAGACGCCGTTATGTAAAACCGCTTAGTAGACTTAATATAGT